TTCTTTATATAATATTCTCTTTCTTTCTTTTATTTTTTATTCTTTCACTTCTTCTATCTTTTTTTTTTCTTCTATCTTTTTTATCTATCTATCTATCTATATATATATATATATATATATATAGGGAGTGTATCAGGTGAGAGGGTATTTTATTGTGAGAGATGAGAGGGTTAAAATATAACCCTTAGATTAATTTAACGAATCAAATTAAAACTTCTTGTCCAGGTTAAAATTTCTAATTTACCATCTCACATTATTCTCTTCCTTTTTGTACTCATATTGTATTGTAGCTGCATTTTGATGGATTCAATCCCAAGCCTTCCGGTACCATTTTTTTAGCGTCAAAGATTCTGGTTTCGGAGACACGCAACAACATATAAGAATAAGAATTTTGGTTTCAAAGACGTGTAGCAACAGTAGCATATAACACTCTACTCCATCTCTACTTAGCCCCTTTTCAATCTCAAGCCTTTTGGTAACATTTTTTTCTAATTGCACCATCTTCAACCATTTTTTTCATTCCTTTTAACCCCTATTTAGATACTAAGAAAGTTTTGGACAATGTTGTGACATTTTTTTTTCTTTAGGTTACCAGTTCCGTGTTGTCGCTTTCATGCCCTTCTGTTTCGTATCTATTACTTTTCCAAACTATTAATATTGTAATTGCTAAACAACCCTAAACTTTAAAAGTTAACTCTTTTTTATTTATGTGTTTTTGGGTGTGTTTGTTAGAGCTTCCGGATGTTGGGATTTGGTTCTCAAGCTATGAGTATCAGTCTCCTAATCTGGATTCCAATTTTAACGTTTTAACTTTCAAGTCATAGTTGTCTTTATAGTTTCTATTTTTATATTCTTAGTCATAATGGTATTTTTCTTGAATAGTACCGTGTTTATGAATAATTGAATTTGGGGATGTTTGTGTCTATCTTTATAAAAAAATATCTTTTATTAAATACTCAATGCAATGTTTTCTTTAGACCACTATGTCATCACCAATGACTTGCTCTTCCCTCGACATTGATATTGAAGAGATTCAAAAGCCCCGAGTCCCACATTTCTTCCGACCTTAACTCCTTGAGTCTTAGGCCACCTACACCTCAGGTAACTTTGTTTGATTGTAAAATAGCTATGATTTTATTATTAACACCATGTTTTTTCTATCATTTTATTTAAATTATATATTTTGTACTTTTTAGGAAAATGAATAGGTACTGAATTGTGATGAACAATTGAAGTCCAAGGTTGGTCAACAATTTGATACCTTAGAAGAAGGTGAAAAATTTTACAGAAGGTATGCACATAATGTGGGATTTAGTGTGTGTTTCTCATTAGAAACTAAAGATAAAGATGGTGTGAAGCGTTGGAAGTATTTCTTTTTCTCAAAAGAAGGTTATAAACCAAATAAGAAAAAGGTTGTGGAACAAAGCAACTCAACTATTAAGTCTAGGAAAAGGACTCTTTCAAGAGAATGATGCAATGCAAATGGTACTTTTTAGGAAAATGAATAGGTACTGAATTGTGATGAACAATTGAAGTCCAAGGTTGGTCAACAATTTGATACCTTAGAAGAAGGTGAAAAATTTTACAGAAGGTATGCACATAATGTGGGATTTAGTGTGTGTTTCTCATTAGAAACTAAAGATAAAGATGGTGTGAAGCGTTGGAAGTATTTCTTTTTCTCAAAAGAAGGTTATAAA